TAGCTTTCTCACATTGATTTATTCCTTCAAATTTGTATAATATTGCTGAATTCGTCATCACATTAATCTTTAGATTAGTTAAACCATTGATTACAAAATTCATTCATCTAGATAAAATAGAAGCTAAAACAATTATAGTACTTAGTAGAAATTGGATCTCAATCCCTATGGGTTCGACATCCATACTTGATCGTAAATTACAAAATTGACATTGTACACTTGCGGTATAATTACATTACATTAAACACGTAACAATCTTTTTTTTTTTTTTTTTGTCTCAATGTGCAATTAAAGATTATTTTGTGGATTTTTATATTATGAGATTTGCTTCGATTTTTGGGTGTTCTATTGAGGAAAAATTATTTTCTAGCACCACAACCGTTTAATATATAGTAGTTGTTGCTTTGTTGGCAATTTGTAATTCAAATTTAGACTTGCGTATAAATGTATAACTCAAACTTGAGGAACTATTATTATATCAACAAATTATGTGGTGTACATGTGGCAGAAGATAATCCTACAATAACTAAACAGACACTGAAAATGTCAATTAAGTTGGGCTGGTGCCTAGTTTAATGGCCTATGTTGGTCCACATGCCTCGTTCATATAGCTTCTGGGATTTTGGTGTCTGGATGCATTTTGAATGGATCTCCATGGTCTACGTTCCAAAGGTAACTACTGAAACAGCATAGGAGAAGGGAAAGACGTTTTAGGCGGAGCTTGAAATAATTTTTTAGAAGGTTTTCTAGTGCCCATCCAAGAAATGAAACAGAAAGTATGAATGATAAACTAAAACTTGAAAACTTTCCACATCCACTCAATACTATAATAAAGAAACCCAGCAATCTTTGGTTTCAATGGCAAACTAGAATAAGAGAATGAATTAGTGAAATTCATGAAGAACTCAAGAACTGATCGACGGGTCCTCAAGGAAAATACTGAGTGAATTGTTTCAATAATCACCTAACTTATACAATGGTCACGGACTGCTCACTAAACTTTAAAGTGCTTCACAGTGCTCACTGAACTTTGTCCGTTTGCACTCCGTCCATCACCCTTAAAAATCCGTTACATTATTCGCTGACATGGCTAACGAAAATTTGACGGAGCAAGTTACAACCATTAAAAAAATGGCATCTCAGCGAAACCATTGTTTCATTACATCCAACTTGCATTTGGTCATAGTTTACTCATTGAACTTCAAAATGATTTCCAATTATCACTAATCTTTGAGATGTTGCACTCTATTCATCATCCACTATATTTTATTCCCTTCATTCCTAATGTTCGCACAAAAATCCCACGTGGTAATTTACCGATGTCAAAAAAAATTGCTACTCAATAAAACTTAACTCACCAAAATAACCATATTTGAAATGTGACTTCCATGGCCCCATCAATTTCTTACGATGTCTCATCATAAGAATGTGTAGGAGAAATAAAATTCAGTGCGTACTCCTTTTTCCTCAATTCAGTTGTCCTGTTATATCTATAACTTGGGATCTTTAGTCCACTAGGTAGGATTACCATCATGGGAGCTCTTGGTTACTTTAACATACTTTAATATTATTCTCTACGATGCATTTTGACTTTTATCTTATTAGATTTTTATCTAGCGGATCCTTAATGTTTTCATTTGATTCACATAATTTATAGATATAATGCTAGTAGAGAACAATTTTCTAATAACTTATTGACGAGTCTGTTCACATGCTCTTATAGTAGGGTGATTTTATTCTCCATTTCTTCTTCTTCTAGTACATGATCATCTCTAACAAAGCCTAACTTATTTATATATTATGCTATTGCACGTTTGTCAATGGGTAAGAGTTATATACTATTTTAACTTAATTATTGACTAGATCTTAATGAGTATTGGAGGTTTTTAATGTGTTTATTAGTGTTGTTTTATAGGTTTGGTGAGGTGGTGTTAATAATGGTAAAAGTGTTGAAAACAAATGGCTTGAAATCAAAGGAAGAGAAAAGGAGAAGAAAAGGATAAAAGAGTTAATTTACAAAATGTGGCGCCTAGGCGCCACACATGGTAACTTGGACAAAATGATAGTGCCGGCACCACCTATGTTCTCTTAGTGGCACCACTCTATTGCACCAAGGAGCCGCCTGATGCGTTCTAGGGCACGGAATATTTGGCTCGTAAAAAGCCATGAAGACTCCAAATTCAAGAAAAACATGATGGGAAGTATAAAAATAAGAAGAGAGACACTTGAGAATTGAGATACACACAATACAACTTGAGACTTAGGATAGCAAATCGAATGAGAAAAAATTAAGAAGTTTGAAGCATTTATTGGAAGAAGATCTTGGTGTAAGATTCATCTATTTTTCTAGGCCTTTATTCAAAACCCGGTGATGTAATTCATTATCATCTATTGTTTTTCTTCATCTATCATGGGTAGCTAATTTTTTTTTATTAGGGTGAACAATGTAATCTATTTAAGACCCTTTATTTCTTTTAGCCAAGATTATAGTTCTTTAATCAAATATGTGCTAATTTTATTCATGTATTTAGCCCCTGTTTGACACTCATTTTTTATCTCATTCTCATTCTCATTTTTCTACAGTACTCATTTCTAACCACACATTCTTCAAATAAAATAATATTACACATAAACTCAAAACTTCTTACTTTTTAACCACACATTCTTTACATCAATCACTATTTAAAAACTCATTCTTCAAAATAATGGGTGTCAAATGGGGCCTTAATACTTTGAATTGCTTGATCAATAATTCAATTATTTTGTGATCTTTTACGAATCAAGAGGTAAGTTTTAGATTTAGAACATATACTAAAATCCTATAATTTAATATAACGTGTAGAGATACATATGCCAATTATTATGGTCATTATATGAATTGATAAAACTAATATTTCTTTTAACTAAGATTGATTCACATAGATATATGTGATTGAATTAGTTAAATAGACTCAATTAGAACTCAAGAGTTGTAAATTGAATTCAATAGAAGAATTTGATCGAACACTACATTACATTTGTGAATCTTGAATTAAGACTTAAAGGTAATCAATAGATGAAATTATTATACCCTATTATCCATTCCACATTTGAAACATTAAGTCGATCTTTGTGTGCAATTCCGATACTTGCAATTAGTCCAAAGTAGCTAGATCAAAAATCACAACACTCACAATTCTTTATTTTCGTCAAATAGGAGTTAGACATATTAAATTAAGTATTAAAGCATATTTTTTTTTTGGGAATGATCATTCGGACTCAAAGGTCCACTATATAACTTGTTACGATATTTTACATTTGCAATATAAAAACGTAACAAATTTTTGGTATCGTTGCCGAGGACTAGTTACATTTAGTCTTAGTTTATTTTATTTTGAACTGTTATTTGATTAGTTTATTTTCTTCTATTTACTGATAAAAGGTGTTCGCTGTATGCTTCGTACCCCAAGGCGACGATCTTGAACTGTTTGATTTGAAAATAGAATGTACCTTCAAATGAAGACTCAAAGAACACAAACAAAAATAGAAATATTAGATGGCTGAAGACAAAAACATTCATATTCCTATACAGCCAATTGGAAAATGAGTCATTTAAGTAGTATACAGCAAAATAAGAAATAAAAAAAAGAAGAATCCTTACTCAAGAGGTGGCGTCTCAGCGTTGACAAAGCAGGAAAAACCATAACATGTGGCACCCAAGCGCCACACAAGGAATCTTGGACAGAATGATGGCACTACAGCCCCACATGTGTTCTCTTCACGGCGTCGCTCATATGGCGTTTAGGCACCGCCTTATGCGTTCTAGGGCATGGAAGTTTTGCCCGTAAAAAGTCATGAAGACTCTGAATTCAAAGAAGACGTAAGGGGAAGTATAAATACAAAATATATTTTTAAATACAAAACTCTTACTTTCAGTATCTACTTCTTACCATACTTCTAATTTAGTTCGTTATAAATAATGTTTATTTGGCCTTTTATAATTTCACTTTCTTTAAATGGACGATGAATACTGATTCTATTTTATGATTCATATTTTTTTCTCTAGATTATTTTTTGTAGGATAAATTTTCTTGAACTTTTATTCAATTATTACACGTTTGGGAATGTAAAACAATAAAATATAGACAAAATTCTGAAATTTTTGTATTAATTAAATTCGTAAACATTTGATTTAAGATTTTTTTTAGGACAATTTACAAAAATACCCTTAAAATTAAGAGTATTTTTAAAAATCATATGAAATATATTTTGAAAGTAAAAAATACTATGTAAAATCAATTGTCACTTTTTTTAATAGAAAAAGTGACAATAAAAAAAAGAGAGACCCACTGTCAATTTTTAAAGTTAAGTGTCACTTTTTTATTAAAAAATGACATACGATGTCACCTTTATTAAAAATTGGTATTTGTCACTAAAAAAATGATAAAAATCAAGAAGGTGATTGAAAAAAGTGATAAACACTAAAAAAAAGTGACAAAATTAAAAAAAGCGGCACAAATTAAAAGAAATTATACTAATTAAAAAAGTGACAGACGATAAAAAAAGTGACAAACTCCAAAAAGTGATGAAAATTAAAAAAAAGTGACACACTCAAAAGTGACGACTTCAAAAAAATGTTATTGCCTGCTCTAAGCTCACAGTTTTTCCGAAAACAATGAAATGTGATGGAAGACACATTTTTAAAGTGGTTGCATTTTTGGGTTTTTAATAATGTAATTGATCACTTGCATTATATGTATTTACATATGCATAAAACTGATGGAAAATCAAGAAAAGAGCAATCCATCCTTATGCAATACACCCTATCTTCTCTTCTCCATAAAACTATAGAAAAACTAACATTACACTACGCAATACCCCTCATGGAATTGGTTGAAACTCTACAATCATGAATTGGAGCTCCTACTATAGAAAAACTAACATTACACTAAGCAATACCCCTCATGGAATAGGTCAAAACTATACAATCAAGAACTAGAGCTGCATATAATCTTGGGTGATCACTCTCCATCCCATAATCCATGGTGGGTGGACGGGTATTCCGTTTCTTCTTCCTCTTCGTACACATATTCAAGTATCTCAATATCTTTTTTCCTCACATTTTCCCACAGAAATTCCAATCTGTTTACATACCTCACCTTCCAATACCACCTGCAAATTTTAACAAATATGAATTTGACCTAAAAAATTACTTTGAAATTAAAAAAATCTGACATGACAGCTTAAGCTTTACCCTTCGGTCCATGGAAGATGAGATGGCCAAACGTCACGAGGAAGAGGCGAGACTGAAATCCAGGATGGAGGAAATTAAACTATAGAAAAACTAACATTACATTAAGCAATACCCCTCATGGAATGGGTCAAAACTATACAATCAAGAACTGGAGCTCCATATAATCTTGGGCGATCACTCTCCATCCCATAATCCATGGTGGGTGGACGGGTATTCTGTTTCTTCTTCCTCTTCGTACACATATTCAAGTATCTCAATATCTTTTTTCCTCACATTTTCCCACAGAAATTCCAACCTGTTTACATACCTCACCTTCCAATACCACCTGCAAATTTTAACAAATGTGAATTTGACCTTAAAAATTACTTTGAAATTAAAAAAATCTGACATGACAGCTTAAGCTTTACCCTTCGGTCCATGGAAGATGAGATGGCCAAACGTCACGAGGAAGAGGCGAGACTGAAATCCAGGATGGAGGAAATAAATTGAGTCCAGATTCTCACTAATTTTAACTGGAATTGCTTCGTAGATTGATCTCAAAGTAGAAATGCCTGGGAAGTTGTCGCTTTTGCTCACGTCAAGGTTGGCATAAACCATTGAAAATGGGTTTTTGCCTAAACTTGGGAAAATCTCAACCTCTAGTATATCTTTAGTGCATCAACATCCAGAACTCTCGCTGTTAACAAATTACGACTGCGAATGTTAATACAAACA